CCTTCGATACAATCATTCCATTCCACAAAGGAATGTTCTTGTTTTATGAATTCCGGGAAGATTCATATCAGATATCCTTCTTCCCAATATAAATAGAAGATTTCTCTTCCAAAATTCGTTTCACCAAATTTCAATTTAATTGATAAAGTCTTTCCTCAGTATAACAGTTCAGGTATCATTGTTATATTTTTATCAATCGATTATCATTTGCCTTAACTGATTAAAAAGTGTAAGGGAAAGTTCGATTCATGTAAGATTTTTATTGAAGAATAGTCTTCTGAAAGGGCCAAAAAATGGAATAATTAGAAATTTGAAAAAATTTCAGATTTTCGGTACGAATGCATCTTTTGAGTACTTTCCTGTTGACTATTTGCGCTGTTTTCATGGTTCAAGTAAGTTCCAATGGATTGTTTCTGAATGAAAAAGAATGTGTTTGAAAGCACACTGCTTATTATTTGTATATTTTGTTATCAGGCTTGCAGTCCGTCACTGTTTGGCGAAGTGGAGCGGGGACCACCAGGTCCACCAGGTCGGGATGGACCTAAGGGAGATCCAGGAGAGCGAGGACAGGAAGGAGCTCAAGGACCAAAAGGTGAACAAGGGCCGGTTGGAGAGCCTGGAATTAGAGGTGAACCGGGAAGCGAAGGAGATAAGGGAGCTGTTGGGGAGAAAGGACCAGATGGGATACCAGGTCCGAAAGGACCAAAAGGAGGCTAAAAGCAACAGACAATGAAATTTTTCGATGATAGCGAAGCAATCCCTCTCAGTGATATCTGTTTTTTTTACTTCTTTTTGTTTGCACCAACATACTTCCAAAACAAATTTGTTCTCTCCATTATGTCACAAAATTCAGATTCCTAAGCCTGAAAATATATTCGGTGCTTTAATGGAATTTGCTTGCAAATACAAAAATTCGAAATATGAATTTTATAAAGCAGGTCATTGTTTTTACAGCTTTATCACTGTCACTGTTAAATAATGGGAACTTTTTAAAATTGGCCGATTTCCAAATTGAACAAAAGATGAAATAAAATATTTTGTATAGGCGAAAATTGCTAATTTGCTTACAATTCACTTTCCCTTTTAAAATCTGAATCACATAGATAGACATTCATATACCTGCGATAGGATGTGATCAAAATAGCTCAAATTAATTTTAGATACAAATTATTAGATGAAATGAGAGAGTGAAATAAAATGAGAGAGTCAGTTTGAAAGGAAATGAAAAGATAAAGGTTATAAAGAAAAATATAAAAAATTATAAAAATACAAAAGGGGAATATGTGGTCACAACGTTTTCGACACGTTTTCCTTCTTACTTAGCCAATGCAAAAGTCATCGAAAGACTTATTGCTTTTTATAAAATGCAAATTACGATGTAATCAATTCTTTTGTTTGCTCATTAAAATAAAGTATAATTAAAATATCACTGAACGATGGGATGTCAATTATAATGTCAGTCCATTGATCGACCGATATTTATTAAATTCAACCTTTCTATTCTTATTATGAATGTTCTTTTATCGTTTCTTTAAGTTAGCTGCCTTTTTTTTTGGTCCCAATTTACAATCTTTAATTATTCCTGTTTTGGTCGCAGCGGTCAATCTGCCAGACTTGTTGATAACGTGACCAGTATGACCAGTGATCATTATACTTATGGCCAGATGACATCTGCATCTACCAGGTGACAACTCATTCAGTACTTCGTCTTCATTTTCTCACTTTATTTTTTTGCTTCAATTTTCTTTATGAGTGCTTCCTTCCTTCTTCATTCAGCATTAGTCCCTTACATGCAGTGGTCTTAATTCTTGCTTAACAGAGTTCTTCAGCTGAAATAAGCCTTAAGGCCAGTATTATTGATCGGTATACATTCCTGCCGTAGTATTAGTTAGGTTGGTCATTAGGCTTTTTAAGCCTAGTCGAAAAAATGTCATTAGGCTTTCTAAGTAATGTAATCCTAGACAAAAAAGTTTCACATATTATACATTATCTTCAACTAATTTCATCATCGATATCATATTCAGGGTTTCTGAAGTTATAGCAACGAAGGTTTTTGACAGTTCCTGATCAGTTTGTGCATTTGCCGGCATTACTTCATGCCATTGAAAGAAGAAAGCAAAATAAAACATCCAATACAGTAATTGCTATTTATATTGAGAAAAAAATCTATAAGAATCTTTCCGGAATTCTTAATATAGGAATCTTTCCGGAATACTTAAAACAAAGATGAAATGTGACATCAAACGATTCTCGGTGATATTTATGAAAGCTTCTATAATAAATGTTATTGTATATTTAGAGTTTCTACGATTATAACAACGATGATTATTACGAGCTCTCCTGAATCTTTGATCAATTCCGGATTCAATGGAACATTTAGCGGTGTTACGTTTTACTAATGAAAGGAAAAGATAAAAAATAAAACCGTAATATTCAGTTGAAATAAGTGTTGCAAACAGCACTGC